TGCCAGAATTCTTAGCTTATTACCAAAAAAAGGCAAGTCGTTCACGTGAAGGTCAAAGGTACAGTATGTAAAGAGAAGGGAAAGGAATCAAAGCAGAAATGTCAGAAACAGCACCATAGGAACTAATAGAAATGTTGAACCTGGGAAATTATGTCTGCATACTCTAAATCAGGGGTCAGCGGATTTCTTTTATAAAGAACCTGATAGTAAATATAAACAAATGAACAAGGTTATGTTCCAATACACCTATATTTATGGACTCGGAAATTTGAATTTCTTAATTCTCATGTCATACAATTTTGTTTTCCCCAACTATTTAAAAATGTACACTACTTTCTTGGCTCACAGGCTGTACAAATACCACTGGCAGGTTAGATTTGGCCTATAAGCCAGTTTGGCAACTCCTGCTCTAAGTTAGAGCAACAAGGATAAGAGAACCAGATTAACTGTCCTTTTCCAAGCTTCTGAGGGTATTTTTCCTTTAGATAAATCGATAAAATTCATAAATTTGAATGATTTCCTTAAATTTGACTAATTCCTTAAATTCGATTCCCCTAAGAGATAATAGTTACATGTATTGTGTTGATAGTAAGTCCTGCTCATTGAGAACACTGCCTTCCACTAAAGAGAGCTATTCCTTAAGGCACTGGGTGAAAAATATTACTTCTGAATTTGTCCCTCATTGCTTGCAAGCTCTTAATTTTCTTTAAAGTGATTTTAAAATCTAAAGGTGAGAAGATTCAACAGTAGTCTGCATATAAATGCTTAGATTTTAAAAGCCTATCAATCAAGTATTGAATGTGAATCATAAACAACAATTAAGAAAAAAATGTTTAGTGCAAAATGTCACCTTCTGACAGGCAGTCTTCATAAATACAAACCGTGTCTGGTGAGGAAGGACTCCTACCCCCAAGCCACTCCTTGTACCTTAGCTGTATGTAGCTCAGGGGCAGGAACAGGGCTCCTTCTTCAATCACTGGCTGCGGCAATAAGCTGTAACCCAAGAACACTTTAATCCAAATGAAAAGTATAACATTGTCCACAAAGCTCAAGTCTTTCATTACTAGAAAACTATTTTAAGTTGTCTGGTTTCAAGCAGACAAAACACTAAGGGTGATTATTAAAGACAAGCTAAGCTGTTCAGGGAGGGCTCATGAGAAGGAAAAAGGACTAACTTAGCCATCTGACGGCTAGAACAATGTTGCCTTTCCATTTGAACTTTTATCTGCCACTACCTGAGAGCAGAAATATCACCTTAAACGAAGCAACCCAAGCTACAATGACTAGCGTTGGCCAGTCCCACACTTGAGTTCATTAGCACCCTACGCCACTAAAAGGTAGTATCTAAATTGCAAACATTCTGAAGTTATTACTTTTCAGACGATCCTAACTTGGATACACCTCTAGAACAAATACAAAATTTTTGCCAGATTTTCTAAGCAAAAAGGCCTGAGTGAAAAGAAATAGAAGCGACTCTTCACCACATAATCAGAAAACCTACTGCTTTCTGCATTTTAGGAACTAGAATAACACAACACTTAGATTTCTAAACTTATAAAACCCAGGTGGTATATTAAACTCAGATTACAACATAAAACTCTGCCTACAAAAATCTATTTTAATGAGTTATCTTAAAAATTAAAATATAATCTGCTTTTCAATAAAATTAACAATAAATGAGGAGTATTAAACATAAAATAACCTTTGAAATGTTTTAAAGAAAAAGAACTTATGATTTCCAAAGTAGCTATCTGCTCTTTTACTTCTACTAGAACAATACATACAAAGGGATACATAAATGCTATTTTATTATACACATGTGCATTCGTTTGGCAATTAAGCTAGTTACTGTTTATTTAAACCACTAACCTTTAATTTCTCATGTAAAAATTCCTGAGTAGTAATGAGAAAACTTCAGGAAAAAATGTTTTCCCAGGGCTTTCACAACTCTAAATAATGCCTACTCTGGGCAAATGTAATAAGACATGATAATCAAAGTGTTCCTAAACCAAGTAACCAAAGAATATAAATGCTCTGCATTGATCTTTTTTTCACCTCAAAATTCCTCTTCCTGAACCCATTTCAAGCATAAAAACTGCCTAGTTGACACAGCTTTTCCTAGGCTTCGTTACCCAGTATGTGGCTTTATCATTCATGTATTGGCAATTCAGTCTATCTTTAACCTACCTGAAACATCAATCTTCGAGACCTAATTTCAAAGTGAAATCAAAGGACATCAACCATTTGCTCAAACTCTCCAGAGAAGGAACCTCAGGAATCAGTGTCAAACCTTAACCACCAAATGCACGGCCCCTCCTATCTACCTGAATGTTCTGGCTGCAAGAGGACAGGGTGGAAGTGGAGAATTTGTCATTAACAGGCAATTCGTTTCTTTCTCAGTTGTTAAAAAAGGTCTTCCACACACTGAATTGAGACTGCCTGGAAACCTGCAGCCTGTGCTTTGCTGAGTAGCTATGTCCTTCCACCCCACAGCCTTGAATACTGCGTTTTCCAGAAGTGAATAAAACTTTTTCAGTACGCTCTCATATAGGTATAGTACTCTGAAATTCTTTTTGTTCTGGAGACTCTTCTATAAATATGGTCTAAGGCGGGTGGGTCTAAGCAACTATCTTTCCAAATGGCTTTAGTCATTACCTTTAAAGGCCTGGTTTCACAACATCCATTACTTTATTATGTCCAACTTCAGACTTTTAACCACACTTTTACTTACTTTTCATGCTAAATTAAGAGTTGGGGGGAATAGACATGACTTTTTTATTATAAACACATTAAAATTCAAGCTAAACAGCACCTGCAAATAAATTTCTCCTTGGGAAGAACTGGTATCTACATTCGTAAGTGCACAAAGATGTAAGGGCAACAAAAGCAAACTCATTATAATTAACTCCCAATTGTAAACTGAGAAAATGATAGAATGGGAACTTCTCAGTGACTGATTAACACACAAATGTATAGTTCAATAAAGGCTCATTCTATATACTGTACCCTGAAATCTTCCAATGGGGACTCCCACAAGTTACTCTGCTACAATACCCTGGGTCTCCAATACAAGAGATGTGAGCATCAACACAGTACCTGCATTTTAAATTTTAACTCTTGTATGTTCAATTTTAAGGAGTCCAGCTAGGGGTCAAAGAAAATAAAACAACGGAGGAGAGGGGAGTAACACACTCCAAGAGAGACTAGGAATGCTCTTAAAGCTTCGAGTACCACAGAAAAGAAACAGGAAAAACCTCTGGAAATCCACGAAAAGGCTGGAAAACTATAGCCTCTCAACTTGCATTTCTCCTCTAAGAGTTGTCTGGTACGTACAGCATATTTCCTCAACTCTATGACACATAAATGATTTGGGGAGGAGAGGACTATGCCGTCACATTAAAGGGGTATACTATAAAAGGTATACATTTCCGGATCTAAAAAATATGATAAACATGCAACTTAGAATGCAGGAGTTACAACAGGCTTCCTACAGCAGGATCACAAACTTCTCTAGATTAGAGCTGAGGTTTCCCAGGCCTCACAAACGTGTACAAGCTCACAATGGCATCTTGCATTAAATAAACTTCATGTTAATGTTTTGCATTCATTTTCCCCCCAAGTATTGATCCTATTTTGAAGTCCAATTTTCCTAAACTGAAAACAAGCAAAATTGGTCAAAACCAGGAAGTCTTTGTGTTGAACATTTACAACCTACTTTAAAAATGTTTTGTGAACCAAAAAAAATTCAGAAGTTTTTTGTTGTTGTTTAATCTTAACTTTATTTAGGTCAAGGAACTCTCAACACAACTTCACCATTGTTACAATATCCTATCTGTAGCCATGAGGGCCTCCTCCTCCTCCAAGGAGGAGTTCACCCTGATTATCTGCTGAGGTTCCTCTCCCCCACCACCACCCCTCCTCCTGTGAGGATTTCAAGGAGCGTACTGAATTACTATTTTAACCAAACTGTGCTATGTGGCTTATCTAAACTGGGGTAAAAGACATATGCTCCACAATACAGGAGCATACAAACAAAAAACTGGACACAAAAAAACACAGTAACTCAATAAAAGAAATACATTTAATATACTTGCAGCCACGTTAATCCCATGTACTTTGCTGCTATGCAAAAGACAAAGGGGAGTTCAAAGTTTTCATGTCAAACAAATAGTATGCCTATACCCTGACTCTTACTGTGATCACGTTTCCTCCCTAAAACAAGGTGAAACAAAAGAAATTTCAATATCCGCATTTCCCTGGTTCTTTGGTATCTCCTAAAAAGCACAGATTAAAAGGAGGGCTCAGACAATTTCCACACAATTAAAAATGTTTCCTTTTCAAAAACGTACTTTTGTTTTTCATTGTTCCTGCTCTGGTTTAAGCAGTGTATCTTAGCATGGAGAACAGAGGGCCAAGAAAGGGGGACTACCCTGGGGGCTGGACAACACAATCTTAGTTTCTCCCAAATTCTGGGGGAACAAGCTTGGGGACACAATAGCATGCCTGACTAGACTCTCTAGACCTGACCAAGAGGCACCAGTGTCCTCACCCACTTTACAGGGTGCAAAGAATGGAACCACCTCCCAGTGCGCGGTGATTGTTCCTTTTTCTACAGAGCCTGGACCATGACCCAGGCTTAAGTTCAACCAAACTTCGTAATAGCTATTCCTCTAGATTGATTTAAACATGAAATGTGTACAGGCCCCTAGCGGTGTAGGCAGCTATGCTTTCAAAGTTCAGACATAGTATATTTTATTTTTTTATTAATACCTGGGGGGAGAGGGGGAGGAGGAAAGGGGGGCGGAGCATACACCACACTCTACGTTACCGAATTTCTCGGAAGAATGGGGATTTCAGCGACGGCTTGAGGAGTACCTGACCCAGAACAGAGGACGAAGAGCTGCCTCCAGGCCGCGGGCCCCTGTCCTCGGCCACACCAGCATCTGAAGTGAACGGGCTGCAGGTTCGCTTATCATCCCTCCAAACCTGAAATACCCTACCTCATGTGCAATCAAAAGCAGGGGGAGACAAGTTCCTTCCGGAGGAGCAAAAAAAAAAAGGTCACAACTTGGATGAATGAAACAGGGCTAAAGGGCACCCGGAGCAGGATTTTCGCTGAAGTCAGAAAAAGAGAAGTCAAAGATTGTTGGTTTTTTTTAACGTGAGAGCGGTTGTATGCGACCGTGGTCCAGATAACTGCACAAACAAGCTTTGGAGAACGTTTTATTCAACGCGGACGGTTCCGGGGCGGCCAGCAGGCGCTAGAGTGGTGGCTGACGGCGGAGGTGGAGCGGACGACGGCGGGGCCGGAGACAAGGCAGCTTCGCGACGACGGGAGCGGGGCCGGGCGCTCGCGCGTGTCCTCCCGCGGGCCTTCCACAGGACTCCCGCTGCCGGCCCTGCCCCCCCTCCCCCGGCCACCCGGCCGGCCGCATGCGAGGCACACCCTCCCGTGGCCGCGCTCCCGCGCGGGCACACCCCCACCCCCCCGCGCGCACGCGGCCTCGCCGAGCCGGCCAGCCCAAGCGCGCCCCCTCAGTGCGGACGCCCGCCGCCCGCCCGCCGCCCGCGGCCCTGGCCTCCTCCCGGCCATGCGGGGAGGACGAGGGGCGGTGGCCTAGCGGCCGTGGAGGCGCCCGCGCGGGAAGGCAGGTTCTGAAGGGAAGGTCACTTACCCGCTGCATGGCTTTCAGGATTAAAGCCAGCTCGTAGCGGGGCATGCCCAAACGCTAGGCGCGCGACTCCGGACCGAACCAGCTCCCGGGACGCTGAGAGGCGGGGACAGCGCGGAGCTGACGAGGTGCTGGGCCGGAAGACTCACAGGCGGCGAAGGCACGATCTGGCCCCGCGAGCCCGAGCTTAAAGGCTCTGGCAGCTGCGCAGACGACCCGCCACGCCCCTTCGGCGCGCCACGCCCCCTGTGCGCAATGCCACGCCCCCTGCTTAAGGTGGCTGCGCCTCCTCGACAGCCTTACTCTCCGCAGCGAGCCGACCTACCCCCGCTCGCCGGAACCCCCACCCCGGTCCGGCACTGGTTGCGCTGAAACAACAACGGGGGCTCGGCGGCGAACAGCCCACGGAGGTCCCACGCCCCCTCCGATCTTGCCGCTGCCGCTGCGCCTGCTACCTACGGTTCTCGAAGCCGCTGGAACTTGCCACGCCTTCGGGCTCATCCTGGGCGGCGGGCAAATGTGCGTTCCCGCGTGCGCGTGCGCTACAGTGCGGTCTCGTCCGTGCGCGCGCTTCTCCCGATTCCCTGCCGCGAGGAACGTTCTCGGTGGCTGCGCTCCTCCGGGCGGGGTTGCGGCCAGACCCCGGGCTCTCGTCGCCCCCAGCTACGTTAGGAGGTTCTGGAACGTTCCTGTCCGACTGCGCCCCGTCCGCGCTGAACGCTCAAGGCTGGCGGAGAATGCCCGGGGCCTGCCACCCACGCACGCCCACTGCCCACAGCCCTTCGTCCTCTCACGGCCCCAGCCGCGGCTTTCCGGGGCCGCTTGGCCTGGCGCGGTGGGCTCAAAGCGCAGGCTGCGGGGCCCCATGCCTCGCCGGCTCCCTGACCTTGGGCAGGCTCCTGCAGAGAGGGGACGTGGAAGGCACCTATTTCCCGGGGCAGTGAGTCCGTGCACGTGAACCGCTGAGAACCATGACTGCACATAGTGAGGGGCGACACAGCCATTCGTTGTGTGAGCCCGGCATGACCCACGTGTTGTTGCCAAGGGCAGGCTAATACTTGAGCTCAAACGAATATTCTTTAAATAAACGCTAGGCGTTTATTTAGAGGACCAGCTGAGTAGTTTCAAGCCGTAACCGTCTGGGATCAGAGCGTGCCTTCGCTCCCCTTAGCCCCCAGACGTGCACACAAGGCTCAACTCTCCCTCCAGCCGGGGGCTGTAATCCCTCTGTCAGGAACTGTACTGAATACATTTTTCTCTAGCTCCACTCCTTAGAGATTGAGGCCCCTGCAACTTTCACCCCTGCCCTTTCTTTCCCTATTAAAAGGGTCTCTAAGTGAGATAGATGTTTGTCAACTTAAAAGTGACTTCATGATAATAGGTAAAACTTCTTGAGGATTTACTGTGTATCAGGTATGTATAAGACTTTTACATGTAGCTCAAAATTCTCAGCAGTATGAGGCTAGTAACTATTGTTAACCCCACTTTAGGGATTCAGAAATATAGGCATGCAAAAGTTATATAACTAGCCCCAGGCCAAACATATTAATAGAAACAAAATTTGGACCCAGACTATATGAAGACTGAGCCCATACTCTTCTTAATCCAGCCTCAGGGTCTCCTAACACACTGATTAAGGTGCTGGTGTTATTCAGTGGATTTACTCTGTATTCCAAAAATAGAGGCCCTCTGTCACCAGAGACTTGACTATTTCTCGTTTCCAACCTTTGACTCCCCACACAAGGTAAGGATGGTTTGAACACAACCTTTTCTGTGTTACCTGGCTTTTAACATTTTCTATTCTTGAATGTCTCTCTAACTCGTGTTCTTCCTAAGAAAATGATTCAGGTATTAATACAAATTACCTGGTTAGTGTAGGCTAATTTCACTCTTAGTTAAAAAGAGTAGAATGCTATGAGTACCTTTACCCCTTTTGGGATACATGGTTTGCAGATATTTTTTCCCATTTTGTAGGCAGCCGTTTCATTTTGTTGATAATTTCCTTTGCTATGCGGAAGCTGAGTTTGATGCAATGCCACTTTTCCATTTTACTTTTGTTACCTGCACTCTTGGTGTTGTCCAAAAAAACCGTTATCAAGGCCAATGTCAAGAAGCTTTTCCCCTATGTATGAGGGAAGGAAGCAAGGAATTTCTGGACTTTCGTAAGTGAGTTACAGGTTTTCCTGCATGCTCTGACTTCAGTTGCCCCTCGTGTTATCAACCAGATGTCCCAGTTTGGGAATGAGAAAATACAGACCCAGAAGGAATATACCAAGCCAAAGACCAGGGCAGTACCATGAGCTGACTCGACTTTTAGTATTTCTTTATGAAGATCCACAGTTTTCCCCTAATGCCCAGCAACGAGTGAGGATCTGGCTTCTTCCTCTACTCCTCCCTCTAACCTGATTTCATTTCTTCTGAAGGGGAGAGAGAGGGCAGCTACTCTGATTTCTCCCCACTTCAACCTTTTTTTTTTTTTTAAAGCACAGCAACAGAATACTGGTAGATTCATTAAAAATCAGTAATAAAATATAATCACAAGGAACACTGCTGCAAATTTAGTGCCTTCATATATTGTAACTACAAACTTCACCAAAAAGGATTTTTTTAAATTTTATGCTATGTATAGTCATCATTTAGAAATTTAAAACATTATTGCAATAATGCACTTTTAAAAAGTTATTCTGATACTCAGGAATAAGCTTAACAAAGGTGGTGAAATATTTGTGCACTGAAAACTATAAAACATTGGTGAAAGAAATTAAAGCAGATGCAAATAAATGGAAAGATTTCCTGTGTTCATGGATTAGAAGAATTAATATTATTAACATGCCCATACACCCAAAGCCATCTGCAGATTCAATACAATCCCTATCAAAATCCCAATGATACTTTTTACAGAAATGGAAAAAAATTCATAAAATTCATTTGGAACCGCAAAAAACCCTGAATAGCCAAAACGATTTTGAGCAAGAAGAACAAAGCTGGAGATATCATACTTCCTGATTTCAAATTACAAAGCTATAGTAATCAAAAGAGTATAGTACTGGCATAAAAACAGATATATAAGATCAATGGAACAGAATAGAAAGGCCAGAAATAAACTCACACATATACAGGCAACTGATCTTTGAAAAGGGTGCCACAAATACACAAAGAGAAAAAGATAATCTGTTCAATAAATGGTATTGGAAAAACTGGATATCCACATGCTTAAGAATGAAATTGAACTCTACCATACACCATAGAAAACAATCAACTCAAAATGAGTTAAAGATGTATACATAACAATTGAAACCATAAAACTCCTAGAAAAAACATAGGGGGAAAAAATCTTTGTGATATTGGCCTTGATAATGATTTTTTGGATATGACACCAGGAGCACAGGCAACAAAAGCAAAATAGAAAAGTGGGATTGCATCAAACTAAAAAAGCTTCTGCATAGCAAAGGAAATAATGAACAAAACAAAAAGGCAACCTACAAAATGGGAGAAGATATTTGCAAACCATATATCTGATAAGGGGTTAATATCCAAAATATATAAGGAACTCAATAGCAAATAAATAAATAAATAAATAACGTCGTTAAAAAAACTGGGCAAAGGAACTGAATTTCCCCAAAGAAGGTATACAAATGACCAATATATACCTGAAAAGATGCTCACCATCACTAATCATCTGGGAAATGCAACTCAAAACCACAATGAGGTACCACCTCACATCTGTTAGGGTAGCCGTTATCAAAAAGTCAGGAGATAATGAGTACTGGCAAAAATGTGGAGAAAAGGAATTCTTGTACACTGTTGCTGAGGATGTAAATTGGTGCAGCCATTATGGAAAACAGTATGGAAGCTCCGGAAAAAAATTAAAAATGAAACTATATGATCCAGCAATCCCTCTTCTGGTTATATATCTGAAAGACTTGAAGTCAAGATCTTGAAGAGATATCTGCACTCCGCGCTCATTGCAGCCTTATTCACAATAGCCAAGACATGGAAGAATGTAAATGTCCATGGTTGAATAAAGATAATCGATGTTTTAAAAAGGGGCACAATGGGGGCCGGCCGAGTGGCGCGATGGTTAAGAACTGGCTTGGGACGCCAGAGGGCCCCGGTTCGGATCCCACATATGAGGGCCAGTGACACTGCCCTCCACAGCTAAGATGCTGAAAAACAGCTCAACCTGGAGCCGGGCTGCCGAGAGTCACCAGCGACGGCGTAGGCTGCAGCCTCTGTGGCAGTGGGTTGCCATGGGCTACCATGTGTAGTCAGCAGCTGCAGTGAGCGGCTGTCCAGAAGCCGGCGACTGACCTGCCTCGCCCGGGAAGAGCGCAATGATGGTGCCAACTTGGGCCAGTGAAGCAACAGACTCCACAACTAGACTGAAGAACAAAAGGACAGCAACTTGTCTGTTCCCATTCCCCCAATTCCCCAGCGCTGTTCCCGTCCCCCAATTCCCCAATTAAAATCTTTAAAAATAAATAAATAAAATAAAATAAAAAGGGGCACAATGGAATATTATTCAGTCTTTAAACAGAAGGAAATCTCGCCATTTGGGACAACATGAATAAAACTGGAGGACATTGCGTAAGTGAAATAAGCCAGACACAGAAGCACACATATATAACATGTAAAACCACTTTGATGAGGCATCTAATATAGTCAAACTCATAGAAGCGGAGGGTAGAATGGTGGTTGTCAAGAGCTGGGGGGAAGGGAAAGTGGGGAGGTATTAGCCAAACAGTACAAAGTTTCAGTTATACAAGAGAAAAATTGCAACT